AGTAGAATTTCGAGGGCATACTGTTTCGGCAAGCGGGTCAAGACTACGGGAACAAAGTCAATGCGATTCGCCATTGGCCAAGACCAAGAGATAAATACGAAGCCCGGAGTTTCTTGGGATTGTGCACGTACTACAGAAAGTTTGTCAACGGGTTTGCTGCTCCTCTGACCGGCTGACGGATTGGAAGTCTCATTAGTTTAAATGGACTGCTAAATGTGAAGCAGCCTTTAAAAGATTGAAGAACGCACTATGCTCTAGTTCTATTCTGTACTATCCTCAATCATTGGAAATGTTCATCTTGGGCACGGACGCGAGCAACATCGGAATAGGTGCTGTATTGTCACAGGTGCAAGACATGGAAGAAAAAGTCAAGTACTTCAGCAGTGTACTTTCCAAAACCCGAGAAGAACTATTATGCTACGAGGAAGGAGTTGCTGGCGACTGGCAGGAGTTTTGAATACTTTCATAAGTATCTCTATGGACGAGAATTCCTGATTAGATCTGATCACGCAGCCCTCACATGGCTCCTTCAAATGAAAAATCGCGAAGGACAATTGGCTAGATGGCTTGAACGACTCCAACAGTATCATTTCAAAATTCCACACAGAGCTGGTAAGCTCCACAATAATGCGGACTCGTTGTTGAGAAGACCGCGTAAGAATTGCAAACAGTGCGACAAGATCGGGCAGCGTGAAATGTCGTTCAACTGTGGGAGGACAGTAGTTGTGGAAGATGAAGAATGGACTATGGCCCAGCTTAGAAAAGACCGAGAGGAGGACGTGGATATAGGACTGTTGCTCAAATGGAAAGAAGATGGGGTTGAACGGCCAAGTTGGTTGGAAATATTAGACGAGTCATCGACTTTCAAGGCGTTATGGGCTCAGTGGGACTGCCTGCGTGTCTAGAACGAATGGGAAGCATACCACCTCGCAGTTGGTGGTTCAGGCCATTAGAACCAACAAAGTACTTTGAAAAATGCACAACGGTGGTTTTGGAGCTCATTTTGAAATCAAGAAGACGTTTTCTAAAGTCAGGGAGAGATTCTACTGGGTCCGTTGTTGAGAAGGTGTCGAGAATTGGTACAAGCAATGTACCACCTGTGCGACGGTCAAGGGCCCGAGAACTAGAGTGAGAGTGCCGATGCAACAATACAATGTCGTTTCGCCTTTCGAAAAAATTGCAGTGGACATAGCAGGTCTTTTCCCGGTGACCGAAGACGGGAATAAGTACATAATTGTCGTCAGCGATTACTTCAGCAAGTTTATGTCATATCGGACCAAGAAGCCACGACGGTTGCAACAACGCTGATTGACAATTGGATCAGCAGGTTTGGGGTCCCAATGGAATTACATTCAGACCAAGGCGGAAACTTCGAGTCAAATCTATTCCAAAGGGTTACTGAAGTACTAAGGATACGGAAGACACGGATTACGTCGATGACTTGAAGGAGACGCTTGAGCGTTCACAAAACGGTGCGCCACAAGATCCGGGTGACAACTGACAGAATGAAAACACGCTACGACCTTAAGGGTAACTCAGTGGGATTCCAGGCAGGAGATTTGGTATGGTGTTATAATCTCCGAAGAAGAAAAGGTCGTTTCTTAAAGTTGTCATCAGACTGGCAAGGCCCATATGCTGTCGTGACGAGAATCAACGATGTCGTGCACGGAATTCGACGAGGGCCGAAGACGAAAATGAAGATCATCCATTTAGTACAATAATGACACCGTCCACGTTTCTAATCGAGACGATCAGAACTAAGGAGGGGGCAACGTTACGAAATAAACCTATACGCCGCCCTGGTACGACGCCTATGGGCCATTGAGAACTTTCTGGTCTATATACCGATGATGATTCATCGTCAATGACAGCGACCGAGCGGAGGATAGCTAAAGAAAAGCCTAGAGAAACGGAAGTCGCGAACGGCAATCCAGAAAAATCCCGATCGCCGCACGTCTAGAAAGAAGTGTGGGTTTAAATACAGGCCACCTTCGGGAACGATGATTATTCAGTAAATCGAGTCCACAACAGTACAGTCAAGTTTCCTCCGGAATTATTTTGTACATAATCGCTGCGTAATAATCAGTCGTGTAATTCGAGTTACTAACAAATAAATTATTGAGTTTAAGGGAGCAGTACGGCTCAGATAGACCCTAGCGCGGCACAGCGATAATGCTCATGAAGCAACGCTGTCCGCAGTCACTTTGTGGATGGGTGGCCAAGATCGCCATACCTATCTGAGCGGCTCGGTGCGTCTCCCCCCTCTACACCCAATGGGTAAAAGAGGGTAACAGATTATATATATATATATTGAGTTTAAGCCACGCCGATTTTATTCACCGATCAACGTAACTATATTATCCTATAAAATTCAAAAAATAATTTATCCAACTCGTTAGAAAAATGCTTTTTTGTACTCCTCTATTCAAAACCAAATCATTGCGCATCATATGAACGACCGGAAACGTCTAATTTACACTCTTGACGTTTGTTCCTAGTGGATGAAAGAACAGAGGAATTTTTATTAAACTAAATAAGAATCAGTTCAAAACATGTTATTCATGCGACGTGCGGAAACAGTTTTGCTTGATTCGTGCGACGTTCATCGCAGTTACCCGCACTTACCATGTACACGTAAATAACTGATCACTGCACTCAAATGGCTGTTTAAGTTACTTTTTCTACTGTATTCCACTCGTACTGACACAAGTTATGACTTATTTAGTAAAATTACACTTTTCTAAAACTTGTTATGAAAGATATATTATTACTAAGTATATTTTAATCATTTATATCGTCTATACGATTTTTTTATATGAACTAATTTTATTTTTCTCATTTAAATTCTATCTAAAGAAGTCTATTTATTCGGATTAGGAATAGTTTTCACTACTAGAATATGGCCAAAGATATAGTGCGGTTATAGCTTAATTGCTACTCAACTTGACGTAATTTTTACGACTTCGTCAAAGTGGGCTGCAATAAGTCTGTTTGTCCGACCAGACCTTCTTCTACTATAAAGATAACAAATAATTTTTTTTCAATACGGCACGTGGTTTACCCAACGTCTACTTAACGTGCCATGGGGGAGTCCGAATTGTGTACATGACCTGAAAAAGACAGGAGTTGCCCCTTTTACCACTCGGGAAATGTCCGAATTGCGCTCACTACCTGACTGCTCCCTTACCGCGTTCTTAGACCCAATTAATGCAGATAAAAATTACTTTTCATTGGAAAATCCAGTGTTGTATGACGTCAATATGGGAGATTTCAGTTACGTAGATATAAATGAACATAGAAATGAAAATAAACAAAAATAAATTGACGAATGCGTAGTTTTATTGTGGTGCCATTCTTACAGTAATATTAGGAACTCTGTCCTACCTAAATTGTACATATAAAATGTACATGTAGAACCTATTCAATTCATTTAAGTAGTAGGTAAATTGTGTTAACCTGCTATAGACTCAAATTTTCCTTAGTATGATTCTAAATTCGTGCATCTATTTATTTATAATCCACACCCATGCTAATGGACTATTGTTTCCTGGTATCATGTGGGCACACAGTGAAAAATTTTGACGCAGAACAACAACGCTTGCAAATCGTTCCATTGTCATCCTAATATTTTTACCTTTTTGCAGTATTAAAGGAATTTGTTTTTATATAAAAATTTGTTTTTTTTTACTGAAGAAAAACACCATACTTAAAAATTATGAATACAACTCTCCAACAAAACTGTATCTATTTCGGGCTAGGTATGATATAGTTCCAGGTAGCGGGCGCAACTCGGATACGTCCGATGCCATTATTTATTGAATTTTATGAAAGATCCGCTATACAATGTATATGAAGTCGTAGTCGTAAACACACAATATCTTTAACGGAACTCTACAAGTCAAGTTCTACATATTAATTCTTTGGTCAGTTATAGTATAGCACGTTATTTAATACACCTGTTGTTTCCTTATTAGTTATCACTATGCGATGCAAATGTAGAATTCAAAGATAAATATACTGTTATATTATAACTTAATTTTTTCTGAAGATTTTGTCCTAAAAATCTATTTTTTCCTGTTTTTTATATTACCCTATTTTGACAAATAAATGTCTGCGTTTAATGATTTTTCGTACATTTCTAAACAATACTAACTGCTGAGTCATTACTAGAAAAGATTCCGCAAATTGACTTCGCAATTCGATACCAGTGACATATGATTTTTTAGATTTTTCTGTTGTAATTTTTTTCTTCACAATATAAATAAGACAGAAAATTAAAATCATAAGATTAATTTAAATATATATGTATATACATAATTTTATAAAAAGGTCAAAAACATTAGATACATACATACCTACTGAAAAAAATTAAACATTCAACTAAGTTATTTATTTTTATCAAAATGGTCCCAAATTATAATCGAAAATCTATACCTCAGCATCTTGGAAATCCAAATAGGTTTATTTTTTCTTCGTAAAGTTTAATTTAATATGTAACTTTATAATTTTAAGTTTTTTTACTATGCAGCTAACAAATTTTTACAAATTACAAAAGATGGATGTGTAATTTTAAATACCAACATAAAAGAAAAATAAAGTGAATTTTATTGAAAAAGTTACATTAAAACTACATGACAGTCTAAACCCTATGGGTAAAAAATCTTTGCAGAGTTTTTAAAAGTTTAAGCAAAAATAAATTAATATTTTGCTTTCTATTTTGGGCCTATTTGATATCGCCAAACAAATAACTATGTAGAACGTAACAGGCATGTAAGTTTTAGATATAGCCTCGGGTTTTTTCGGCGAACCTGCTTCCTGTATCCGAATTCTGTTCTAATTGAGTATTATGATAATTAATTATTCCGGTTAACCGGAAGAGGCGACTACAGCACAAGCCAAGATTACCGCAAGGGTGGAGCTCTTTGGCGAAAGCGCTCGAGTTTAGACTTCGAGCAATGCCCTACCATTATAAACTACGAATGACTATACAAACACCGCCGGTTCAAACTTTATATTACACCGATTGTAGTTAAAAGTGAAGGGGTATATAAGCCTTCTTCCAATTTGCTGTTGAACTATTCGACGTGTTAGCAAGTGCAATGAGAACGGTAATTTTTACATTTTTGTTAAGTTTTTGTGTTCTTTGATTTTATTTGTAACATTTTTATTAAGTTATCAAGTGCGCCGGCAGTGATCTTAACTCTAAAATTAAGTCGTCAATTGTGAATTAACTACTTTGTGCGTAGTACAAGTTTTCATGCTTCAGTTCATGCAACAAAAATCGAGTGTCGGGTGCAATTAGAGTAATTGCACCAAATTATGGTTGTATTTGACGTTTTACACGTGATGTGACCTCAATCAAGAAGTTATTTTGAAATTTCAATTAAATCGGAGTGATTGTTTTTGATGATAAGTTTACGACTTCAGGTTAATTGAAAAAATGCAACGATCAGTTTTAAGCTTGGTATTATTGGGTGTAATGTGAATTTATTGATCATTTAGACTTACTTAACCAAGACCATTCTAATGTGAGCTAATTAAATGTTGCTTTTTCAATAAATCTGTCACGATTTGAACACAGTTCCGTAGATCACCTGTTACACGGTCGCTTTACATACCTGAAGTTTTCATATCGGTAATAGAAATGTAATAATTAATCGATAACGGAAATCTATGACGATTATAGATATTAAGCAGAAAGTTCTGCAGCCGAGAAAATAGAAATTACAGACTTATAATTTACCTTTCTGCATTTAATTACCTGCATAAATTATTATACAATTCCACACATTTATTCAAATTCACGCACAGTTACTTAAACGATCTGTCAGTGGGAATAGTAATTTTTTATTACAAGCGAATCATACAAAGTTTCATTGCAACGCAAATTATAATTAGGAACATCCATATGAGGTTTGGAATGAATGTCACTGTGTGAAAACAAGATTCAATAACTAATTATATAAAAGGTGTGATTCGTTATTATTCTGTGACAGCTGTAAAGAATTTTATTTGGTCATAACTGATACAGGTTTGATTCTATGATTAATGATGTTTAAATCATATCTATTAACTTCACTAGGAATAACATATGTGTGCAAGGGGTCAACTGGCTTGTCAAAATTGCTTTAAAAAATTCATAACACATAAATTTAACGGAGAATTTATCCAATAAAATATAGTTTAGAACGTCACAACCTTGATTGCAGCACTTTCATTTTGATTAATTAAGATAAATTTTGCTTATTTTTAAAATGTTTATTTTTTCTAAATACGCTATTTTGAAAACTGTAGTAGACTGTAACCAGTTCTGAAAAATTTTTCAAAATTTTCCAAATGTTCGGAACTCTTTAAAATAAAACTGCTAATTGTTTCATAAAAAATAATAATCTTAATTGAATAACAGTCTTTTGAAGCAAAAAAAGTAAAGAGTTGGTTTAACCGAGAAATGAAAGTACTGAATCTATTTTAAGATGTCTCTAAACAGATTGTAATTACGGACTTCCTTTTGCAAATTTTATTTTCTTTGCAGGTAGTAGTTTTGAAGTAATTTTAGTTGACCAGTTAAGACAAAATTTCTTGTACATTAAAAAAGAATATTTTGTCCCTTTTTTTTCATTTTGCAGCGAATTTAATTTCAATATTAGTTTCAGCGATAATTATAGAGATATTAGATGCGGTGGCCTCGAATCATGACAGTATTTATTTTCACCTCATAATTACTAGATCAAATTCCAATTGAACATTGTAAAAAAAATGTCGTTCTTAAAAATTTGGCGCCAAAAAGGGTACTACATTTATGTTAATTAAAAATCATGAGGCCGTTTTTGTGTCAATTAATGTAAAAGCTATTTTGTTAAAAATATTAAACAGATATTTGTTCATTTTAAAAGTTGATGGAAATTCCATGCCAAGTTTAATATTAAAAAAAAAACTTGAATAAATAATTTATAAAACTGTTACTATTAATTTGCTTTCCCAAAAATAATTATCGTAACCCCAATTTTCCAAGCGATCGTTTGCAGACATTTGTTCGTCAGTTAATAAAAAAAAAAACTGGTAATAAAAATACATGACACCCATGTTTACATTTGACATAATTAATATTTGAGTAATTAAACTGCAAAATTTTGGACACAACTTTCTATTGAAGTATATAATTTGCCGTCTTTTTCAAAAAAAACTTTTTAATATAAGTAAGAGAATAATTCAGTAGTAATATTCTTTTATTATTTAAACATTTGAGACATATCTAAGTTTTATGCAATATAATAAGCTAGCATTGTTTCTTGCATCAGAATATGTAAAAAGTCTATAATCTTAAGAATACAAAAAATCTGTAGCAAATATATATAAAAATTTATATAACTAAACAATTACTCAGTTACATTCAAACATGTGTTGCTTATATAATTTCTTCAACTTTTAAACTGGTACAGTCTGAGTGTAATAACAATTTCTTGTGATATTTCTTGCCATAGATAAATTATAACTAACCATTACGCTAACTGCAAGTGAAATCAATAAAAATGTGTTATTATTACCTAAATATTGCTGTTAGATAGTAATGCGTATTGGTCAATTAATACCGACAGTTACAGTTTCGACATTTCTTTATTTAAAATTCTTATCATGTATCTTTGCTACGTATACATAAACAGCTCAGCAAATTTTGGGACAATAACACATTTTTAATTATATTTTATACAAGCTTTGTTACCACGTTCTTATACTGAAATTCGATTAAGAATCATGACTTTTGCTTCTTAGAAGTGTAATTATAATTAGTCTACAAAAATTGGTATTGGTAGCAATGGCTATTCATATTAATTAACACGCAATAAATATGACATCAAATTAAAAACCATCTCGTAACATTATGTTTCGAACAGGTTTGAATCAATACTTTTCCTTTCATTACACGCATGAATAATTAATTGTAGAATTATTTAATTAAGAAATTAATTCGAAACTAATTTTTGTGTAACACTGTTGATTCTAACAGAAGTTGCATTCTTCTGAAGTTAGTCATATATGACTTGGCAAATTGTCTCCAAATTAAGTCCAAATTTTCCGTAACAATCAGCACAACCACATAAGACGCAGGTTTGAAGACAAGGTCGATATTCAGAAGCGTAAATCATCAAATTACCACAAAAACTACGTAACGAATTTAATTAAATATGGATATTTCCTAATTACTGACACAGGATAAAAGTTTTTCTACTATAGTTCAATGGGAACTTAAGTTTGTAGTATTTAATTTAAAACCTTGAACTCCTTCTTTTCGTGTACGTGTGGATCTTACTTCCGAGAATATATTATGTTGGAGCAAAAAACGACAATTTCGAATAAATAATAGCCATTCCGGTGAGTAATTTGCTTAAGATAGAATAGGTGAAGCGTGTAGTTTTCAAATAATCAATAAAAAAGTTCCTTCATTACTTAATTATAGTTCCTCATGAATTTATAGTGAGATTTTCACAGAGCAAGCATTTTTTACGTAAGAACTCAATTAATTTTTCATAAATAATTTCGTACAGTTAAAGTAGTTTAACGAGAGTAATAGAAGTGAATTTAGTGAATGGGGCCGCTAAATAATGGTTATATAAAACAGCAAAAAGTTAGACCCATAAGAATGCATTATGCATGAAATGTTAATTATTTTGCAATTTAGAAGACATTAAACGAACTGACTTTAATCGAAGTGAATCAAATTGACACAGTGACTGTATAAATCTGTTTATATAACGTAATCGATTCTGCTAAGACAAGTGGCAGTTGCTAGGTTAGAACTTTTGTGAACGACTGTCAAGAACAAATTAATGAGGTTAGTCATACGTGGTCATAAGTAACTACGCTTGGGATTAAAAACACTTGTCCTGTTTTATTTGCCGTCGCTGTACGGGATTATTGAATATTGCAACACTATAATAAAAGATAGGAAAAATACTTGTGAACACACATTTTAATAAAACCAAGTATGCAAGGTAAACATAGCAATCACTCTTATAATTGTTTAAAAAAAAACACGACAGTAACAAATAGCACGCATATAGCATAAATCACAGATTCGAAACAAATTTTTAAATACATCGTTTTTCACTTTTAATTTAGGATGTCACCTTCGGTTCTGAACTTTAAAGTAAAAGTAACTCATCTTTCAAGTTCACAAATGGCACGGAATTTTGTCCTATTGAGACATCGCTAATAGCAGTAAACTTCACAAATTAGACATTTTCTAAAAACCCCGCAATTACATCGTGTATATTAATTAAAAACTACTTTTGTAATTTAAAATAATTAATTGCGGCCAGGCGTTACATTTAAATGACACGTTTACTTTTACTCGTAGTTTCTTAACATTCACAACTGCTTTATTCACTATTTGCAACAATCAATATTGGTCAATTGTTCCCAAAATTATACCACTTTTGTACTTACAGCAAATGCTTACTTTCATTCCAATGGGTAAATGCTTTATCAGTATTCCAATTACGGAGTGCTTTTAAAATTTAATGCAATACTCTGACATAAGTATATTCAATTCATGCAATCGATGCATGTGAAGAGATTAAAAAACTTTTATAGTGCGCGGAATGAAAAACCTTTCAGTTTGTGCACTTGAACTCTTTTTATGTAAGAGCGTTAAGATCACTAGTTCAATGTTTAAGACCTCGCTACAAAAAGAACAAAATTTGATTGAATGTTTTCACAGTGAGAGTTTGATGCCCGACGAGATTTGAATTTTTAAATTTGTCCTCCAGCTTTCCCAAGTGTTGTTTTTATGAATCATTTATGTTATTAGTAAAAGGCGATCGAACGCATGATGGATACATGTAATTTTGTTATTCTTTTTTTTATTTTTTATTAGCATTAATTTACATTCTACACTTAATTGCCCAGTTAGTACCTTATTACATTCACTTTTAACAAGAACGTAAAATTCTGTAAAATTTAATTAGGATGATTTGCGTTAAAACAATTATTACAGTAGAATGGTTTCGTTTCTCCATTTTATTGACTGTAAAATGTAATTTTCTTCTTTGGACGTATTTTAAGCGGAAAGTTAACGCATAAACTTAACTGATTACTTTACTAATTACACGTCTGCTTCGAAATTGTGGTCACAATGAAATGGTCGTTTTATTAAGTTCTACAACTCCAAATTGCGATTGAACTATACATCCATGTACTATGTTGTGGCTAAAATTGAAGTTTGCCTCGACGTCCGTCAGAATGTAACAATAAACCCTCAGTATTTCTTCCTTGAGCTTGTTTTTATTTCTATTTTTGTTTATAAAGGATTGCGTAAAACGGAACCTGCATTTTAAACGAAATGAATTATATTACATAGTAATCATAGTAGTCATTAACTGAGACAATTTAGCAAAGAATACAAAGCTGAACGACATTTCCTTTCAGATAAAAGATTACTTCATTTGTGACCTAATTTGATACTTGAAATACATGAAGTTTCGTGTATGTAGCGTAAAATATTGTTTCGTTTACGACAAATTATAGTGGAGACTTGAATGCGATTACGATATTGGTTAACATTCTCTTGAGCACGTATGTTCTTACGGTACAATTGTTGCGGTCTTGATTTAGAACTAAGATCGCCTGAATTTTGAATGTAATTTTATTTAATATGTTCATTCATGCTTGCGTTCGAAAATATGTAGTTTCTTTTACACCAAGTGTATTTAATTCCTAAGTCATGAAATTATACCATTACTTTCTCTGAACTCGCAGTAACTGATGATGACTTTGAGGTTAACTAACACGAAATATGTCTGTTAATTTACCATACCACATTTCAGTATTGTAGTTTAAGTTGTTGAAACTTAATATTCATAATAAAAGACAAGAGCACGATAAATCCATTAAAGCAGAACCAAACTCATGTTTATCTGCACTTTATAAAATCCTGATTTCACACATAACACAAAAAGTGTAGTGTAACATTACATTAACATCCAAACTCAAAGGATATATTTAAGGATCATTTCGTTATAAAGAATCGTCAATAACCATCTACGAACCAACCAGAAACAGAAACAGGATCATATACCGATGTCTAAGATAAAACCCCGCGGCCTTCTAACTTGAAAACGGAAAGAAGTATTAAAATTCTCTAAACGTTACTGGTTTTAATTTGAAGCGAAAAGCTTAATTTAGTATGTTCATGTTTGTAATGTACTAGCCTCCACCTTCAAGCTAAAAACAATGGCTTTTACAGAATTTCGATATTTCTGTTCATTCCTAAGATATAAGGAAGCTGAGTTGGGACGCTATAGATATACTCTGTGTTGCTAGAGACACTAATTCAACGCCACAATGTGGTTGCTCTAAATTCTTAAATATACAGAAACTGACAATCTAAAATCGATTCTTTCTTCAGATTAGAAGATAAAAGTATTTAATCCGATTAATAAAATTGCAAAATTTAAGCGATCACACAAAAAGTTCCTTATGTATGGTGATATGAATATTCAAAGTTGATCATAAGAAATTCAAAAAAGAGTGTTTAAAGAACGATATCTAAAAATTCTCTGTTGACAGATTTGCTAGGTTTATTAAATATTCAAAATCAAGACAAAATTAAATGTAACAACAAGAAAAGTATTCATCCAGCTAGAAGACATTATCCTACAAAGCCTTCTAAGGATTAATCAACTTGTTAGTAAAGCGTTGACGTTGCTAGCTCGATTTATTATTAACCTTTGACAGTTATATTATCAACTGTTTAAACTATCAAGTACTGACGCTTAATTGTTGATGGACACACCAACTACCTGCCTTTGCTGGTTTAAGCGTCAGTTTAACTGATTACGACTGACAATGTAATTATTGTCGTCTGTTGCCAGTATAACTGCCGTCGTGTCGTTATCAGTTTAACTGTATCCAAACACAGACAGATAGAGTATAACGCGGTAATTAACTTACCCCAAATTATAATAAATCGTAGGCAATAACTAACAACGTGTTCTAAATTATTATTAACATTACAATAGTTTATAGCATGCTATAAACAAGTAAAATCGAGTAAGAGGGACTTAAAAGATAACTTAAATATTTAACTTAGTGACTGCGTTCAGTTATTAGGGCAAGAGTAAGTAAACAGTTATTTAATTTCTCAAGAGTAAACGCTTAAACTGACAACGACAGCGGCTGAAGTGTTAACGACACTTCATAAAATATGCACATTAAAAAACTCAGACCATCTAATCCTCAAACAGTCTGCAAAATTTTCAGTAATTTGGCGAGAAAAATCAAATTTATATTCAAAAGTATTCAACAAAAAAACAACATTAAGAGCAATCGAAGACATAAATGATAAGGGACTATTTTTCGTTTCTTAATCGTTTTATTTGAATGTCCTTCACTTCTGAAACAGTGTAATATTATTTTGGAAAATTATTGCTATATCTAACCAAAAAACGATAAGTAAAATCAACGTTTCACTAGACAACTGCATACACCGTACATAAAAAATATATTCACATTTGGAACATTTAATTCCTAAATTTGGTTTTAGTACTCCTAAATGTTTAAATTTATTAACTGCTTTATATTATTTTACATTTTCAGCACAATGCGAGCGAAAATTTTAATTTTATTTTAATATTGTTTAATCCAAGTATCGCTTAATCTCTTTATTTTTACAAATAAATTCCCGTTAAAATATATTTAGGTCTGAGCAATAAACTTACCCTTGCCTTGTAAGTTTTCTCTTAACATCGGTACTAAAATTTTACATTTAGGTAGATCACATCTACTGCAGATATTTTAAATTTTAATATTTTTCGTCCTGGACCTACCTTTTAAGACATTAGTCTAAAACAAAAATGAAATAAGTCCTAAAATAGTGGCAGTCTTTAACCAAAAGTTCTTAGGGATATTTGTCACAGCTTCGTGTTATTACATGCTGTTTCAAAGTTATTCAGAAACTTACAAAAGACACAAGCGACAAATTTTTTAATATCCAATAATATTCCAAAACTCCTGCAGTGCAGAGAAAGTATCGTAAACTCAAATGAACCTAAATTGTTATTAAATTAATATATTACATTTCAGTACAAAATTATTAAACCTAGATAGATAACAGTATCCGGAGAATGTTGAAAAACCAGAAGTAACAATAACTGGTCGATAATTTTAAATTTGACGTTTATTACCGTTTATGTGCCTGGGACTATTTATCTTCGTTTTAATTTTTATGAACAATTAGCATTTACGAGTAAAACGTTTGCTAGTTAATTATGAACAGCTTTATTACTTCAGCACAAAGTTATGAATGAAGTTGTGCCAAAGCATTTAATGTTTTTTTAATTCTAGCACAATTTTATTAAATTATGTTACAAACAGTGTTTTTCGTAAGCTTGGTCTTGTAATTAAATCTATTATCAGCTGGCTTAGTAAATTTTTAATATTGTCATTGTCGTATTTTTTTAAATTTCCATGATCTATTTCCACAGGATCACCACTAATGTATATTAATTATATAATATTTTTTCATTGACTTGTCAGGAAATTAACAACATTCTAAAGTGTTCAGTTTTTATCATGGCCCACCTCAGTTTTATTGTAACAATTTGATAGTATTGATTAATTCTTTATTTTTCTTTGTGGCGAAATATAAAAAATAATAGGTATGTCTACAACGCTTAAGTAAAGAAATAAATCTTTTACCCAGAGAATTGAAACTCCTTATATTTTGGTTAATGTAAGTTTCTAAATTTGGTTTTATTTATGGTTAAATCTAAATTATTATCCCACTTCGTCATTCGTAAACGCAGTAAAAAATGTGTTCCATCCATTTCAGGGTACTCTATATGAGACATTTTAGAACTAGGTATCACTGTTCCCGATGTCAAACCTAGTCCATACGCACCAGAAATTTCTGATAAAATGGAAGTCCATTTTTCAACGTGCAAACAATTAAAACCTGACAATTTAGTGGTGAAAATAAGGTGTATAAAAGTTTCATTTAATGTAGGTTATCGCCGATTCATTTGTATTTGCTCTCGTTTGTCAACATTAAGGACAATTAAGTTTGTTCAAAATACTTTCGTAGTATTTCGAGTCTACCTTGACGTAAACGCTCCCTCAGAAAGGAACTTGAAGGTCTCATGTCTTTAGAAAGGTTATTGAGCAATATTTTTTTACATTCAAACACCTACCAGCAGGTATTTGGAACTAGAGCTCCAAAGTCGTCACATGTTTTTTCTGTGTTAGAATTTATGCCAGTTGTATGACTCTTCTATTTAGAGCGGTTACTGAACTGCAGTCACTCCTTGGAGCCTTTCCTACAATACACTACACTACTTCTTCAGCCCATCATATTACATACTTAATTTCTGCAACTGCCTTTCTAATTCGGATCTTGCAAGTAATACCTACTGTTTGGCGTAACTTTTAGTAATATTGCAACAAAATTTCAAAAGGGTTTAGGAAACATTAAATGAACATATTCAAGTGTCTCTAATATTCAACTTCTTGTAGCACTAAAACAGACTATTGAATGCAGCTCGTTTTTAAATTGGGGCTCATATTTTAAGGATATGCGACCTCAATAGTTTAAATAAATTGTGACAGCAGAATTGTATTTTTCCTGTATCATAATTTGGAAAAACGAACTTTTGCAGTTGCAGCAAAATTTTATTTAATTAGCTATAGGGGTAGCAGCACTTTCAACTGAGAACAGTTTTAGACATTTTCTTTCATTTGTTCAAAATTCCATTTTCACTTTCCTCTCACTGTTTTGATATTACACTACGAGTCAAAGGACAATGTTTGCCTACTCTAAAGAGAAAATGAAGAAAGATTTCTTATAGACAATCTGAAACGAATAAAAAATAATACTCCTAATCTTGAAGATCTTGGAAGATCAAGACACACAAAAATCAAACAACAAAACAAATAATTTATCAATGTACAAAATTAAAAATCATTTGTTTGCACAGGTAAATACATAATCACTTATAATTTTACAGCAACTAATAACAATTTTGGCTCTCATCGGGCTACAACCAGCATATAATGCCAAACTCAAGAAATCGAAGCGGGGTTCTCTTCTAGGAGATTATTCTCTCACAGATTCGCCACCATCATTCACTTACTCTGACGACCTAAATATTGCTCCAACCGGATGGAAAGGTAGCTCCAAAATCACCATTTTTCTCCTCTTTAAAGTTTTATTATTTTTGCAGTGACAACAGGGGACTTCAATCTCAACGTAGACTTACCGCCACCACGCCACCTGCCACCCCCTGCCATATCTCAAACAATCATACCTCGTCCAGTAGCTTCTTACGGAATAGTCTCCAACTCTTTAGATAAACCCGTCATGGAAGGCCAAGAGTATATTCCTTCACCAGGCATAGGTACAGCGATCCTTCCTCAGATGCCCCAACCAGCCATACCTGTAAACGCTGTAGCCTCCAACATCCCAGCATCCAGAGGCGCGGTATTTCTGGGATCAGGCTCGATCGGAGTAGTTAGTCTAGGCAATGGAGCGTATGCTTTAGGTTCTGGGTCTCTTGGATATTCAGAAAATCGTAGTCGTCCCAGACCAACAGCCAACGTACCAGTGTACCCTCCTATTCGTGCAACCCCAGATTTACTCCCAGCAGCAGTTCCTACTCCCCTGCCCCCACAACCTGCACCTCCAATTGGGGGATTTTATCCTGGTAGCATAGATTTCGGAGGTCCGTTCCTTGTTCCTCAAAAGCCACAATTAGACCAAAATGGTTATGAATATTTACCACCTAATAGGGTTGGTTTTGGACAACCTAATCCACCTAGGCCACCAAGGACCAGGCAACAATTTGCCACGCCTACTACTTTGCAGATTCCACAGGTGCCACAGATTCCCAATAACATTCAATTTTCTCTGCCGGTAGGACATCCCTCTTTGCAAGGGATTCCCATACTAGCTTAGAGCTAGAGGTAATAATTTATTCGTTAATATATTTAAGTATTATGCGCTGTTGGGATATAGTTGTGAATTATCAATAAAAAAAGACTCTTGTACAGAAATGTGAGCTCCAAAGTGATAAACCAAATAGGTTGACTTTTCACTATTGTATTAATCAATATTTTAAGTTACCCAACTAGAATAGTTATTGTTGTAAATTTATTTATTTTTTCGAAAATTAGGTGTACAGTTACTATAAACTTACTATAAAAAGTGTCTTACGTTTTACTATATCAAGATTTATTTTTGTATGTTATGTAACATATTGTAAGTTGTCTAAGCTCTTAATAAATAAAGCTTTATTTTACCTTACAAGCGTTTATAGATCCATTAACCTTAAAAAGCGTCGACATCGATTATGAAAGCAGTTTACTACTCCAAGGGTCATGAGTCATGACAATGAACCGTTACATGATTCAATAAAAATCGAACGAAAGTAGCATTTCCCTAAAAGAAAGTAACACGTCACTACCTACAATGCGTTCACCAAAACTTGTTTCCTTCTTTTTGCAATACTGATTTATAGCAGCGCAAGCATCAGAAACCGAAAAAATCTTGTCAAGTCAGTTCCTGATTTTCCATACAAGTCCGTTTACAAAAACGTGATTTCCTAACAGCGGTCTGAATAAATTATCACTGAACATTTAAAATCTCTGTAATTATGCCACAAACCTTAACTGTGATAATTAAACAGAGCTTCATTAATCGTCGATTTTAGTTTATTAATAAATGAACGTCGGTTTTGTCGAAACACTAAAGAAATGTAAAAAGGTGGAATTCTGTGAAATCGATGAGAAAACCAGCAATTGTGAACGAAACGTAATATTTATAGCAGCAGAGCAGCAGAGCTACTGATCAATTTATTAATAAACTTTAAATTATTAATTATCTCGTGTGGGTGTAAATATGGGGCAAATGTTTTATCTATTAATTAAAATAAAAATTACTGTAGAAACTATTTTTTAAGTAATGAAATTCTTACATAATTTAATAATAAATTAATAATCAATAATGTATAAGATTACAAAAGTTTTAAACTAACTATACATATTGTATTAAAGGATCGATAGTTACGTTGATACATATACGAGCAAATCATTTATTATATATTTCTAAATTAAATTATCTTCGTAATTACTGTAATAATGATTTTAGTATGTATTAAATATAAAGTCTAATGTAAAACTATATAAAAATAATTTTGTAGATACAACTATAAAGGTTAGAAAAGATTTTATATCACATTTGTCTGGATTTGAATTTAAATACGCAATACTAGGATATCACTGTGCTCTCCTTTGAACCTGCCTGACTTTGCCTTTAGTATCCTCTGAGAATTTACGCAACTTCATTCCCAATTTTATTTTGCCTAATCGTGTGTAGATCTTGGAGTTCCCCTTTGCTTGTCCTTCTACTAATAATTTTTTCACAGTAATTTTTTAATTTTATGCCAAATATGTTTCATTTACTAAAGGAGCATCTGCCACTTTTGTTGTATCATAATCTCTCCATAATCAACTCAAAATCGCATAGCAACTTGTAACCAACGCAAGGTAAAATTTTTTGGGATAAAATGTCAGAACGAGCAATTTCAAGAAGTTATTATGAATTAAAAATGTAGAACCGTTTGACTGTTAGTAATAAATGCAATACTAGAACCATTAAACAGAAGTTATACCTACTGAACTCTTTGTAGGTAATGACGTGTTACTGCTTTCTTTTAGGGAAATACCGCTTTCGTTGGATTTTTATTAAATCATGAAACGGTTCATTGTTCTACTTAATAACGTTAAAAGTACTTGTTATTTATTTATTTAAATATCCACACAGATATATACTTAATACATTTCTGCATTAGTTTTTTTTTTTTGCAAACATCGTCTACTCCAGGCGATTTGGAAATTTTTTCTATATTTTGCAAAATATTTTTTGCAAAGCCCATTTTGGCACAATTTTGTAACAACAATTTATTTTAACAGACGTTGTTTATTTTATTCTTTTGTTATCTCAATATTTACTTTTAAATGAATTCTTTGTATTCGTTTTAACTGCTATGAACTTAAGTTATTAATTCTATTCTAAAAATGTTTTTTTATTGCATAGGGGTTTCGCTGAAAATGTAAGCCAATATCTATTTCTGTGGTACCTATATTTAGAAACGGTTATTATGAAAATTTCACCTGTTACCACTGTGATTAAAACAATGTGTTTTTTAGTAAAAGGCGCAATCGAAAAATTAATTGTTTAACTTACACCTAAATTCATCTTTGAAGCTTATAGTGTAATGCAACGTTTATGATTTTTTTGGAAATGTCGTATCATGCTTCTAAAGAAAAATTGAATTTTCAAAAAGATAGTTCTTCGTTCGAATATTACTGAGAATTTATTTCGGTGTATTTCAATATACAAGTAGATTATAATTAATACTCCCTCTGTCACAAAATAACTGTCCGATTTCTATATTTTGCTAAATATTACCTTCATTTTTAAAGATGAATTTGTATTGTTTAAGATGTTGTTGGTGTGTATTAAATGCAACAGTTTGATTAAAAAAAAAATTGCAGATGGTGCTTTTTGGTAGCGATAATTCTTTGTTTCTAAACGAATTTAAAGAAACTTTGTTTAAAATACTGATGTGGAGAAAATATGGCCCTGGCAATAAAATCAGTTGCCCCAATTCAACATGAAAAGCCTAATTTAATAAAGACAACTGGTGAGAGCATCACCAGTTCCTTCTTGAAGTAAGTGTAAATGGAAACGCCGTCATGCAATCTTTAGTTATAGAATATTCGGTTTCAACAAAAACTGTCGGTCGTATTTGGCATCGAGGACGGTAGTCCTTGCAACATTTAATAAATACAGATATGAGGTCAAGAAAAATTGGGAAAATCGATTTTGAACAGTTCTTTTTGTTTTCACTGTTGTGCACATGTTTCAGTAGCACTTTTTGACTTTACTTTGTCGAAAGTAAAGCACCATGTTAACATTGCCTTACTTGTTTTTGTGTGGTTCAGAAAAACAGAATAAATAAATAAGAAAAAAATGAAAATACAATTCAAAATTTTAATTGTGTATTTAAATTAATTATAATAAAAGTTCAATATTAAATGAAAGCCTATTGTAAGATGTTATATTTATTATAGCAGTAATAATAATTCAATAAAAAATACATCGTGCACTTAGTTTGAGACAAAGAGAGTATTTTTAAAACACCAAAAAAAAAGGATAGCAGATCGCTAGAGACATCATCTAACACCGAAGGCCGTGGACTCAGCTGGAATGAGTGACATACTATTCAATTCTCAGCAAACTAACATACACCATTATTGTGATGCCTTTTATAAAAAGATTTATTAGTAAACGTCAAAAGCTAAATATATATCTGCCAATCATATTTAATTGTATTCAGCTTTAATGGTTTGATTTTAAGACTAGTTTTTTTCAATTTCAATTAAATTTCTAATTTAAAATACCGAAAACGTACTCTGTTCAAAATTGTACTGGATTTTATAAGTTTTTTCTAGATTCATTTTTAAGATTTTTTCATATTCAGATATTTTAGTTTTCAAACAATTTGGATAAAAGCTCAAATAAAATAAATTGGTTTACAGTTTTCCCAAATTATATTAATTGAATTTATTTTGGGTAGTTTGTTTAAACGGTGATACTGGTAATTATTGATTAGTGATTATACAATACATTATACTACTAACGTTACGAATCCATAGATGTTACGAATCTAATAGCCAGAGACATCTAATGACAACATATCCATCTAGCTACTTTCTACAAACTTAAAAAGGTGGAAGCACTTTCCACGTAACAGTGCAGATAAAATCAATCTCTACAATGCATTTAATAAATTAGCATTTTCACGCTAATGTGTTTTTTGTACTAAAACATTATTTCGCAAAAGAGTAATTTCACAAACTAATTTACTGCAGTCACAACCACTAAGAAAACTGTTTTATTTCTTTTCTTACAAAATGTCAAATTTATTAAAATATTCCAGAAACGCTTTGTTTTAAGTGTTAATTCAACTCGTTAGCATACCTAAATGCTTATATTAGGCAACAAAAGCAGCTTATTATGTAAAATGAACCGTTTCTTAAAAAACTGACGATATACCCACAATATATTACATTGTCAAAAAGATAAGCAAAATTGTGCAAATTATGCACTCCTTTCGGCTCAACAGCCCATTAGGCAAATAAATTTTAATAGAACTAGACCAGCATTTACATAGTGATTCGATCATCTTATAAATATTTTTAAACTAGAAAGTTATTGTGGGCATTCGATATCGAAAACATAAAAATTTCGTCGACATCTTCATAACTTTTCATCTTAACGATGTGTTAAATTGGGACACGTGCAACTGCATTCGCTGATTGACGGTTTCAGTGAAAATGTTAGGAAATACGACTAATTAAAATCGAAATAACGACTACTGCCAATGCGTGTACCGCTGACATTTGAAGTGATTATGCATCGTGATGTGACCAGTACATTCATAGCACACGCCCTCTTAACAAATGTGTCGTCTGTTATCTTCCGGTCCCACGTGCTGAACCGGTGTTACATAAGTCTGAAAGTAGTCCATCTTTCGGGAGTACACCGTAGAAAGGCGACTCGTTTGTGCATATGAGCCATCAGCCCCCCTTAATAATGGCGGTACTTTATGATTTCTATCTCCTATAAAAGCTTTAGATGTCCGTCCAATCGGCACCAGTCTTCTGCTGTCCTCCGTTTAATAAAGCATGATGAAGACTACCGTAAGTATACCGAATATTTTCGGTTAAAGATCGGTCAACTTAAATAAAAGCTGTTTTAAATAAAACTACAGTAACAAGAGCAACACAAAAAAAAGATTACTTAAGTCATCGCTTGTGCTGTAGTTTTACAGTTTTATTGTTGAGCTGGTTTTACAGAAAAATGTTCACTGACTCTTTTCAGTCACACTTATTTCTTATTAAATTTAATTCACGCCATTCCAGGTGTTCATTGTTCTCTTGATCTCCGCCGCCTTTGCTGAGGAGAAGAAGACCACAAAACGTGGTGTCTACGGTGAATCCTTAGCATTGGGAGTTGGGAGTGTGGGCCTTGGACACGGTGGCATCGCTTTAGGCAGTGGTCTGTCGTCAGGAGCAATTCTGGGATCTGGGATACATGGTGGCAGTAGCGGACTAATTTCATCCCATGGATACGGTCTCGGTCTAGGAAGTTACGGTTCATCCCTTGGCTCTGGAATAGGCTTGGTCGGTTCCGGAATTGGGCTGTCCGGCTCCGGAATCGGTCTAGGTTCTGGAATCGGCATCGGCTCTGGAATAGCACATGGTCCCATCAACCTTGGAGCTTCTGTTTCCCGCCACATCACCGTCACCAACAGAGTCGGAATTCCAGTACCACATCCCGTACCAGTCACCGTACACAAGGACGTTCCAGTGCCAGTACCACACCCAGTCCCTGTCCCCGTGGACCGTCCTTATCCCGTACATGTACCTAAACCTTATCCAGTTCCAGTAATAAAAACCATTCCCGTGCCAGTAGACAAACCTTATCCTGTGCCCGTTAAAGTACCAGTGAAAGTGCCTGTTTCAGTACCCGTTAAAGTACCAGTACCTAGACCTGTGCCTGTACCTATCCACAAGCCTTACCCTGTACCTGTAGCAGATCCTGTTATTGTCAAAAAACCAGTACCTGTTGCCATCCATGGTCACGATATTGGTTTGTCTAGCATTGGGCTCGGATCTGGGATTGCGCTTGGATCTGGAATAGGATACGGGCATGGAATTGGAATTGGATATGGATCTGGAATTGGACACGGATCTGGAATTGGATACGGATATGGATCTGGAATAGGATATGGCATTGGAGGACACGGTATTGCTCTTGGTGGACATAGCATAGGACTCGGTTCTGGTATTGCGCTGGGATCCCATGGAATTGGATTAGGTTCTAGCTTAAAATCATGGTAATTTTCTGTGATGTTAGTCATCTTCATTCATTTATAAATATGCCATATGATACATGATAGAAACTAGTCCCCATGTGGTTTCACGTATTTTGCATTTTTGCGCAATAAAGTTATTTTTATAAAATATTAATTGACTTTTTACTATCCGCTCCTTCCTATCTGATAAGAGAACACATGTAAACAATTCAGTTGTCATTAAGCACTGATATCCTTATTAAGTTAACCTTATTCACTTTAAACTGGTTTATAATTTATTACCTCCACTTTCACTAGATGGTGCTCTGATCTTTGAAAAATTCGTCTTGGAAAGTGGAAATATTTAATTGTGTTTAGCAATGTTTACATTTGTGTCACTGCTTGTTTATCAACTTTTTATAAATTTAAGAAACAGATAAATCTTGCAATCGTTGCTAACTATTTTATAAAACAGGAAATCGTGTACCAGGCAATAAATTTTTACTGGTAGGTAATGGAATTTAATCCCAAAAAGAGACATCCGAATTTAGAAAATGAGAACAAAGCTGATGCAATAAATTAAAAAATGATGTTGTATTATAACTGAACAAATAATTCATTGTTTGCCAGTTTTTATGCAAATTAAAGTGGGACATATTGACTAAATTAATCTAGTACGAATATGTTTGGTTATATTCCGTTATTATTACCTAATGATTAAAACGTCTGGGCGCGATCTCCACTTTCAAATAATTTTATTAATGATATCAGTTTACTGTAAAATGAAATGAGTCACTCGGAGTTTCCGACACGACGAGACATGAAAGTAGGTAAATGTTTAAGTTTAATCTCACAAAAACGTTGTATATGTGACACCAGTGAGTGAGATTAAAATATATGACGGGACATGACTATATTTTGCAACCACTCGAGTTTCTTTTTCCCAGAAATTTTCTTTTACATGTTACTTTCGTAAATGGACAATTACCGACCAAGTTTTTTTACCATGTCAAACACATAACAATGCAGAAATAAAATAAGCATAAAATACACTAAATTTTCATGCGCGACGTTAACGAAATTTTAATTTCCAGTACTTTCAGCTACAACAAAGATAGTGGCATTAAATACATTTTTTTTAATACTCCGTGTTTTTTTTCTTTAGTTCTGGTCATTTAATATTCTGTAACCATTAAAAAAAAAGAATCTAATAAATTACTTAAACTAAAATACTAAATATGTATATTATGTACGAATGCTGATTTTGCCGATTATATGAAACTGATGCTTACAAACTGGGATTATCATTATCATTTAGTTTCAGTGGACCATATAATTTGAATTAAAAAATTCACTAATTTATTTTTAAACCTTATTAAAAACTTAATGAAATAATTCTGAAAGCCTTAAATTTTAATAAATAATTTTAAGATTACTGAACAGTCTTGGAAATTTAATTCTTTGTGCAACATTAACCCACAACCCTTTCTTCTTGTTAATCTATTTTATCGTATTAATTAAAAGGTTCAATGTATTTTGCTATTTGAACCTTGTCTTCATTGCCCCTTTTTGGTTGATCCTCAAAATATTTTCGGAAATCGCTTGATAAATTACGATTCATCCAGCCTTTGCTTATGAAATTTTCATAAATCTTTTTACTGAAACTTCAGATTGTCTTGAAGTTTACACTAAATGCAGCTACAACACGGTACATCACTAATTATAGATATAATTGTGAGAGGAGCTGGAGAGTGGTTTAAAAAAAAAATGCGAAAAATATTGATGAGAAGTTTCTAAAACCTCAGAAGGAATGGAAAAAATAGCCCAGTCTGTAACTGACCAATTTCTTCGCTGCTTTTGTTATATTTTATTAAGTATTATACTCGTATTAATTCTTGGTTATTAAAAATAACATATTTTTTCACTTAGCTTCGGAAGACGTCATTATAATATCGCGTTTGATGCTTAAGAAATTAATGTTCTACACAAATAACAGATTTTTCTCTCCGACTAGTAGAGAATGGTATGGTTAACCTAGACTGCCGTAATTGACTTGATGTGCTGACTCGACATTATTTAAGTTGTCACTTTTTATACATTGTTAATAATAGATGACAGCTCCAAAATGTAAAACTGGAACACAGATATAAAATTTGACAACAATCAGTCCTGTAGTTTTGAAGAATATCTGTCTAAAATCGACACAGACTGCGGACACAGATAGATAGACAGGCAGACAGACAGACAGACAAATGGAAAGAGATTAATTTTCTCGAGAAAATATAAAAGTAACCAGTCGCCCGATGGACAATACTTCCGTAGCTTACGCTCGGGATGTAAACAGGTGAAGAATTAACCACTGTTATTCATTGTGAACAATTTTTAAACTTTTGTAATATTATAAAATGAAAAAAGTATTGATCAGGGCTTGATACTTCCAACATTATTTTGAATAATGAAAGTCGGATCGATTTCATGTATACAGCACGAAGTAGTAAATACAAATATGGTCAAATATCTAAAAGAAAAATTAAACTTTGAAGGACTATGCCTTGTACATTTGGGTCCAAGGATTTTTGAAATTACTTTTTCTTTGCTCAATAACACTAGTTTACAAATTTAAACTTTTTTTCGTATCCAAAAATAAAAAAAAATATTTTTTACTTCTAAATTACTTACTGATAACAAATCCTAAAACGGATTATCCTTATCACGTCAGGTTTTTTCATAAATCAAAAATAATGAACTTTGCTCTTACCTTCACGTTAGTATCAAACTGATTCATGTTAATACACCATTGTCACATAAAAATGTCTTCGAGATCGTGCAAAGTAAGTGCAAATCAGTTTTGTTACGTTTATGGTAAAATTATAGTACCTAAAGCAAGACCTGTTCAAATATGCTTAAAAAGAAGGTATCAAAGATTTTGGGACGAAAATGTGTTACTGTTGGTCTATTACAAGGGAAACTGTCAGTACTGTCAATAAAAGAAAAGCTACTGTTTATAATTTTTAATTCATAATGTTTATAATATATACTGGGTGTTGCTTTTATTTGATACAACCCCTGTAACTTCTTTATTCTTCAAGATAAACCTGTATTTCTTTGAGCAAATTTGTATCATTTTAAAAGATCTTTGTGAGGCCAACCTCACATTTTTATTATCACTTCCCGTAGAAAAATCAAAAGCAACCAATTATTCTAACATCAATACTTGAAAAATTTTAAATAAAACATTGATGACAATCTAGTAGCTTGAAAAATTGACACTCATGTTATTTATTTACGTAAATGATCTTTTAAAATGATACAAATTTGCTCAAAGAACTATATGTTCATATATATTTAAAAATAAAAACGTTACAAGAGTTGTATAAAAGAAAAGAAATACGGGGTATGTTTATATAAATATCTCAAAAACCTGACGTGATAGATTTTTTCTGCTTTCACATTTGAATTTCCCGAGCCAAAATCCTTTAGATTCAGCTATTTTTGTCTTTGGATATAAAACCTTGTAAACTAGTGTAATCAGTCCTTAACAACGTGTCATGGAATTATTGCTCCTTTTTGAAGCACCTTGAATAACAAGTCAACAAAATACCTAGTGGTTACATTGTTTTTGTTCCTCATTTATGTCATATTTCTCAGACCATTTCTCATAAAAATTATGCGTCGTTCTAAATCAATGTATTTATTAAAAATACTCAAGTCACAGCATTCCAAATAAAACTCAATGACCTTAATCTTGAGAACGGATAAAAATATTGAAATTCAATAAACGCCATTGCGTTTAGCTTGAAGCGAAAACCCAAATTTAGTACACCACACAAATATGAACGCATATATGGATCGGCCTCGCGACCCAAACTTATATTTTTGTAAATTACAATATACATTTGTTTTAACGTATTTTGATAGAGCATTAAATTAGGATTCTAGTGATATAAAACACTAACGGCCAGTTTATAGAATATTTTAACTGAGATTAAGTTAACGACACATTTAACGAAGCGTTTAGCTACGTCTGATTGGTGTAGAGTTGGTCACGTGGTATTTAATACTGTGTTAAAAATTTAATCGCAATCAAATATTTAACTGAGATTGTGTCAACCGGATCTAAAGTGTTCATTTACGCCGTACGGACAATGTAAAATATATCTAAAGCGGTTAACCAATGGGAAAAAATGGTCCCTCAGCTTGAGTGTTTGAAGTTTATACATCGGAAGAATGTCAAGTTATTTGATTTGAATAAGATTGTCGTCTAAAAATAGAGGACTAAAAACGTTAATTAAGCCACAATCCAACAGAATGTTCTGAATAATGTTATTATAATTCTTATTAAATAAAAACGTGCGTATTCTCACATTTTCAATAAAGAGAAAAATAGAAAATAAAGAAACGGCTAAATGACTGGACCATGGACGCTACATCGTGCGTCAGTGGTAAACTGTTATTAATAGTGGCTTATTTTTTGTGAACATTTGGACGTTTTGGGAAAAAACTCAAAGAGGATTCATACACCACAAGGATAAGAGTATTTTGTCGCATAACATTTAAATTATAATTATAAATAATTAATAAACAGAAATAATTTAAGAACAAATTTTATCCGTAAGAGTATTTTCAAGATCTCCAATCAACACTTGCTGCAACAATTTTGATCAAAATGGATCTGTTTATCAACCCTCAAAAATTGATAACGTCATCTCAAAATTTTGCCAAATATATCCTGTCTAAAGTGTGCAAACTACGATCAGTCTGTACTTGCAATTTATCATTGCATTGATATTTTCTACATTTGCTTATGCAGGGTGACTCAAAAAACAGTTGATCAGTCAATTTATTTCATTGAATAAATCAAGAATTGCAAAACTGAATACTTTGAAATCTTGCAGACGTTTTAAAGTTATTCTAGGCATGGTAAATTGTTAATCAAAATATATATCTATTTATTTCCCCCAAAAAATTGATGACGTCATCTCAAAATTTTGCCGAATAAATTCTACCCAGAATGTGCAAAATGTGATGAGTTTTTACTTCTGATTTATCATTGCATTCATATTTCTTAGATTTAGTTATACACGTGGCTCAAAAAGATTAATGAATAGGTTAATTTATTTTATTGATTAAATCAAGAACGG